TGAGAGAATATTTGATATGACAAATAGTATTAGTATTATTAGTTTCAAAGGAGGTTAGATAAGTTAAATAGTATGATAACTTCAAATAAAGTCAATTTCACTGCTATATCTAGAACTTTGCCATGTAGGTGAAAATGAAGAGATATAAGCTGCTAAATTGTACATATTATTAAAGATAAAGAATTGAAGAAGTTTGAATTTAATAGAAGAAGAGAGTTTACTGAGGTATTAAAATCCCCAAGGACAATAGAAAGTAAGTTAGAAGAAATTGCTTGTTGAATCCATTCTATTATAAGATTTTGGGCGTGGAGTCTTGTAGTGGAGTTATCACTAGGAAGGTAAATAGAAATAATGCAAAATTTAAAATCATGTTTAAAGAAGAGATCTATATATATAGCGTATCCAGGGTGAGTAACTATATTATGAATATGAAGAGTAAGATGATTTCAAATCATAATGGCAGTGCCAGCTTTGGAGCTGTCTGTACAGGACCAGTAATAAGTAAAGGAAGAAGTTGAGTGTAGTTTCAAATAAAAAGGATTGGAAGCAAGTTTAGTTTCAGACAAGCAAATGATATCAAGATTGTTGTTTAGACAATATTCTTCCCAAACTTGTTGTTTTAGTCCTTGGTTAAAGCCGCGAATATTATGAGTACAGAATAAAAGATTAAAAGGGAAGTAAAAAGAGTTGGGACTATGAGAAGTGAAATTAGAAACAGGATTGTAGGTATTATTTGATATAGGAGAATTATGGGTGTATGATCTAAGAGGAATAGAAGGTTTGAGGTAAATAGTTTTATAATAAGATATAATAATATGATCTGGTAGAGATCAGGGTTCTCCAAGTATATAGATATAAGCTTTGCTAAAGTCTGATTTGACAGATATAACAATTTTTTCATATAGTTTGTTCTATAAACCAATGGTAAGTAAATGTAAGATAAAAAAGTTTATAGTTTGTGGACTTTCAATAGGAGGACAATTTTGGGATATAAGGAATTGATTGTAACAAATGAGTGGATCATAAAATAAAGGAGTTATATTAATATGAATCTTATATAAGTCTTCTACAAAATCACTTGCTGTATATCCGGCTTTTGCAGTTCTGCAAGAACTAGAAGTACTCTGGTTAAATATTAAAGTACCGTCATTATCTAATTCTTCAGGGTACTTATAATAGATTATAAGAAATATACAAACTTTAAAGAGCTATACTGCAAAATTTTATTAATACAACTACTTTTGTGTCTTAAATGAAAAAAGATTCTAATCTTATTCTAAATTAATTTATATAAAAAAATTTAGGTTAAAAAAATTGTTATTTTCATTCCTTTTTTCAGCATCTAGCCTATATGTTTAATATCAAAGATAAAAACCTCATAAAACTTGCTCCTTCTATTAGCTGAAATGACTTTAAAAATGACCTTGAAGAAATATTAAATGAAAAAGGCTTCCACTTAGATGAAGTCTCAGAAATGGATATTGAACGAACGGAATCTGAAAAATGAATAAAAATTCACCTGGATTATAAAAAAAAAATGATTATCATGTAATTCAGGTTTATGACAAACTATAGAGGTCTCAAAGGGTAATTAATTATTATTATATTGCAATTAATTAAATTTTTATAATATTTTCTTTTAAAATCTTTTGACTTGCTGATGACATGGGTGAAAAAATTTCTTATGTTAAATGCTCAAGAAAGCATTGGTATTGTGATAAAAAGTGGGCAGATAAATCAAAACCACTACTCGATATTCCAGATTGGTCTATTTTGACTACTTACATTTCGGATGAAGAGGCTGATGATGAAGAAGAAAATAGAAATGGAAGTGGTAATAGAAATGGAAATAGTGAAAATAATGGTGAAAATAGTGGCAGAAATAGTGGTGAAAATAGTGGTAGAAATGAAAATAGTGGTAAAAATTGTAGTGAAAATGGCAATGAAAATGAAAATGGTAGTGAAAATGGAAGTGATAATATTGACAAAGAAGAGCTTTAAATTTAGAAAATAATATTTTTTTTTTGCTATAGTAATATGTAAATATATAGCTTTAATTCAATTTAAATAAATATAATAATATACAATTGCTTTTATAAAATAAACGTTATATCATTTATATAAGTATAAAAAAATATAAAATAAAATATAGCTTTGTTGGACATAATGATATGTATATTATTTAATCCTGAAATGCATCCGGTTTCCTTGCAAATCAGAGAAATAAAATACTAGTTGGGTTTATTGATGGGTCTACCGGCATAACGATATTGGACTTAAAAGTTTCTGATTAGTCTCTGATTTCAAACAGATATTTGGTGGAAATAAAAGACCAATAGAAAATAATTAATATTAAAATCGATATACCAGTAGGCCTTTAATATATATCGATAGATATTTTAATTTATACTGATGAGTATCCAGTTTTCTAGCAATTTCAAGTAAAATAAGATATCTATCAAGTTAATCAGTAGACCTACTGAAAAATCAATAATGTACTTGTTTTGTTTCTAAACGTCTATGATTTCAAATAGATATTTGGCGAAAATAAGATACTAATCATAAAAATTTAGTATCGATTTAAGATTAAAATCGATCTACTAGTAGGCCTTTAATATATTTTAATAGGTATCTTAATTTATGCTAATGAGTATCCAGTTTTCTAGCAATTTCAAGTAAAATAAGATACTTATCGTGTTAATCAATAGACCTACTGAAAAATTGATAATATACTTGTTTTGTTCCTAAATATCTCCGAATGGTATATGATTTCAAACAGATATTTGGCGGAAACAAGATACCAATTGGAAAAATCTAGGATCAATTTAAGTTTAGTATCGAAAGACTGGTAGGCCTATTCTATATTTCAATAGATATCTTAATTTCTTCTGATGACTATCCAGTTTTCTAGCAATTTCGAGTAAAATAAGATACTTATCGTTTTAATCAATTTGCCTACTGGCTGTTTGATTTAAAACCTAAAATTTCCTGATTGGTATCTTATTTCTGCCAAATATCTGTTTGAAATTATATACCAATCGGAGACATTTTCGATTTACCAGTCAGTAAACTTCCATATGCATATTGGATTGATATAGAATACCTATTGGTTATCCAGTTGTTACCCAGTATAGTTTCATTTGACCTGTGTATACATGATAACTAATGTTATATACACATCATTAATTAAATTGATTTTTCTCCATTCTACTTCTACACTGCTAGCTAATTAATTATATAGAGTTTTATTGGTATACCAATTAAACCATATGATTACCACTAAACATACACCCAAGAGTCAAGTATCACCTTTTTCTTTATTAAATTAGGCATATGTCCAATTAGCCTTAGCCCTTATGTCCAATTGGACATATGGCTAATTGGTTAATTGGACATGTGGACAACAAATAAGGTTAATTAGCCACTTGTCCAATTAGCCATATGTCCAATTGGACATGAGGGCTAGGGCTAATAATTTTTTGTTGGACTTAAGGCTAGTAACAACACTGTACTGTATATTGTAAAAGAGTAAATTTTAGTTTGAAATAACTTTTTAGTATAATAAATTAATAGAAAATTTGGTGAAATATTTATAAATCTAAGTTTTCAAAATAGGGTTTGAATTAGATTATTCGCGATAATTTAATGCACGTGTATGAAAAACAATTTATTAACCTAAATATACAAAATAAATTATTCCAATTTTATTTACTATTCATAATTTGGTTTAGATCATGAATATAATGAATATTAAGCTATCCAAGTTCATAATATTTACTATTTATACGCATGAATTTAGTGCATGGCACGATAATTTGAGCATTTAAAAAGTGCATGAATATTTTACTATTTAAATTCATTTTATACGAATTGATATTATGAGAATAAAGAACATTTATTAAATTAAGCATTCAGTTTCACAAATGTTTATTATGGCAGTAACAACATAGACATACGGATTATACATATTAATATACACAGGTTCAACTTGACTCAACCAGGGTTTAAAATTCAGATCGAAACTTACATGCACAAATACAGTTGTGTCATAGGTTTTAATTGCACAAACCAACTACAAGTTGCACACATGTGTATATAAATTTTATTTTTATATGCATTTATTTATTGTCTCCAAGTGATCTAACGTTATAAAAATTTAAATTTATATACCAAATATATCTTATATTTTTGTTTGAATATTTCGAATATTTTCTTAAAATTTATACTCGACCTTGCTTGTATTTTATCTTCGCTCATTTTCCTTTCAGGACTTTACGGAATATCTTTAGCCTATCCCATATTTTAAATTTCAGTGCAATAAAATTTTATAATTTCTCTTGCATATCATTTTTTCGCAAGCTTCTTATTCAAATTTAATTGCACACTTGTGCATATACATTTAGAACTTCTTGCATAAAAAAAAAAAAACTACTTGCACGTGTGCATCTCGTGCAAGCCAATTTTAAACCCTGGACTCAACTTAAGAATTAATTTTTTATCAAAATCCTTATTTACGGAGTCCAGACTGAAAAGATTGGACTATTAACGACCCTAATTTCACCCCGTGCTCAACAGCACGGGTTCTTGCTAGTATATAATATTGAATCCCGAGATTTTATTGAATGAAAATTTTTTTAATAAAAAATAGTCAGCGGCCCGGTCGACCGGACTGTACTACAAGGATTGGAATCGGTTTAGTCGATTAAAAAATTCTTATAGTAAGCTACTATGTTTAGTCGCCTAATTTTAATTAGATGACTAACCCGATTCCAAACTGTATTGTGTCAGCCCCAGCCCAAATTTTGTTGTAGGCCCATATCACTAGTTGTGCCTACAAAATTAGTAACAGTGGGCTTTAACAATCGTGATACTAATTTAGTTAGATGCTCAATTATACCAAAAAGGGAAACTAAACTTCACATCACTAACATATTTTTGAAAAAATTTTCATTTCGTTGGAACGCAAGTTGTTTGTACATATTACCTTAGTCACATAAAAAATGGTTGATAATATTCCCCTTCCATCAGTGGAAGAAGTTTATGAATGGATCCCAGATAATGTTATTACTTTTCTGGAGTCTTATCGAAAAGAGTTATATCTTGAAGATCAAGACATTAAAACAATTAGAGATAACCGTGTCACCGGCGCAACATTCCTTAAACTAACGCTAGGAAAACTTTTATCATATCCTTATAAATTTCCTGGTAGGCCTGCAGAACTTATAGCAGACTTAATTAATAAAATCAAAGACAAAGAGCCAGGTAATTACCATCAGTGTTGTACATGGGACGTGTCCACACTATGTAAAATGTCCAACGTCCAAGATTGTCCAAAATCGTCCAAGCCTATGTCCCATGTTTAACTAATCAATAAAGTAATTTAAAAAAATATATAATTATATATTTTTTTAGACGCTGGACTCATTGGTAAAAAAATTAAAATAGATTATCTTAATAAAATTTTGAGTAATTTTAATTTGAAAAAATGTCCAAAATTGTCCAAAATTGTCCCATGTACAACACTGATTACCATATTCCAAATATATACTACTTTCACTGTTGGACGATATTTTATTTTTTGAAATGCTAACGTGGGATTTTGTTGGCTAGAGCAAAAGACTGTGAAAACCCGTATGAATGCGTACAAACCAGTTCAATGCCTTTCTGCACTCACTCAAAATTCTAATTAATCGCCTCCTTTTAACCATCAGTTGAAGACATTATTGAAATCATCTTGAAAGACGTCATGCCTAATTCACTTAAACAATCTGATGGACTAAAGATGCCGCTAAAAGATCGAGACTTCGCTGAGGCGATGACTGCAATCGCATCAAATGTTTCTAATAACCTTAAATCTTTGACTGCCAAGACAGATTTTTACATCCTTGTTAGTGGTGGGGCCCCAGGCATTGGTATGTATCCTTTTATACTGTCCAAAATAAATTAGATTTCATCTATTTATAATCCTTGCATATAGGTAAAACACGGTTTGGCCAGGAGCTTTTCGATTTCATTCAAACAAGAGGGGTTATACCTACTGTCAACAATCGTCGACCACATTTCAAATATCTTCATCTTGATTTTGGGAGCAGTATTAAACTTGACAAATTTGACTACCAACTATCAACGACAGTAATTATTGGATTACGGATTGCTTATGAATTTTTCATTGCAAGGAAATATGAAATAGAGTTTCAACTTTTTCGGGAACGGGCTTTGCCTTACATTGATACATTCAAGGTTGAAAGTGTCTTTGAAAGCATCCGGAAAAAACCTTCAATACAGAACACTCATCAACTCTTTGTTTTTCTTCATATTGATGAATTTCAGCCAATTCTAAAGTGGGATAAGGAGGACAGTACAAAACAAAAAAAAAAATCTCTTTAAGAGTATGAATAATGATCTTGCAATATTCATGCTTGGTCCACCTAAATATACTTTTGTTCAAACATTCCTTTCAGGTACCGCACCTCAAGCAGTCATTGCAACTAAAGAAGAATCGAATGTTTCATTCAAATTTGTAAAGTGCCCAATGCTATCAATTACATCTATGATTCAAATTGTCGATTATTATGCTGAAAAATTTGACACAGAAACGTTTGACAAATGGAGGCTTTGTTACCGGTTCCTTCAGCTTATCAAGGACACTGGAGGATTACCTCGCGCGCTTCAACTCCTTCTTGATGTTTGTTTTCATGATTACAACAATTGCGAAGAAGAATTCTTTCTCACTATTCATAAACAATTTTATAACGATATCTTTAACACTATTGTTGAGAAACTCAATACGCTTTACAACATTCGAGAATTCGTAAAACACAATAAGCGTCTTACCCTGGAACTCATACATTATTGTATTGAAGAAATTCCCGTTAGTACAAACGAATGTCTAGATCCGAATAACAATATTAATACTATTGAAAATTTGGAGACTGATTCACATATAATTCTCAAACGTTATAATGATGCATTCGATCAGTTCCTCATTAAAATGCCTTTTTTTTATATCTGCATCTACAATGATATCTTGCACATTATACAGGAGTGGGAGCAGTCTGTTGCAAATTATGGAGCATTTCGTACAAATTTATTTATCAAACGTGGAATGCAAACACTGCGTTTGCAGGAACTATACCGCGGTGCCTATGGAAAAAATAGTACATTAGATATTGTTGTTAGGTTAAAGAAACTCTCAGTCTGCCAGGCCAGTGAGCAATTCCTGTCAAAGTTAACAAAAGAAACTGATACCCAAATAATTGACTGGAAAGACGGGAATGTCTTGTTTATTAATTGTAAGTCAGGTCAGTTTGGAGATTCATTTGTTGTTAGAGAAGTTGTTGACGGTTCAAAGCTCCTCATAATTGAGCAAGAATGTTGGGATTATAACTCGCAAGAATTTACACTATATCAAGTTCTAGAGAAATCAATCAAAAACATTGAAAATGTTCTAAGATCGAAATCTCCAGATGGTCTTCTACAGTATACGCCCATCATAATCTTTTATACTACTCAACCATACAGTGGTGATCCCTCAGAGCTACCAGACCGTTGCTTACTTATCGCAAAAGGGAATTTCAGTACATACTTTGGCCCCGTTTTTTCATCACATGCTATGTTTTCCCTTACTAGGGATATAAATCCTAATTTTTCGGACCCAGAAAGGATGGGTTCTATTATTTTTGACGTTAATGATCAAACTGCACAGGATATTGTATCAAAACGACCATATCATAATGAAGAGGAATTCTATACCAAGCATCCACGCATTAAAAGGCAGCATATAAAGCTTAGCCTTTACCCATTCGATTTAAATATAAACTAGACTATAGAGATGGATATCAAAACCTTTATATTCTATATTGTGGACTAGGATTAAAAAATATGCCCTTACATTGTAGCTCATTTTAATAAAGGCATTCTTTTTTTTTGCCCGTGGCTGTGTCTAAATTGTCCTTTCGCATGTGGGAAAATTAAATTAAAATAATATGATTTTATTATCTAATTGCAAGTAATATCTTGTAGAACAATGAAATGTACCTTGTGCTACATTATTGATCGATAATTTTATTTTTGCAGTATTATTAAAACTGAACCATGGCATACTCACCATTTTACTTTGTCATATGTATTTCGATGTATTGTTTCAACATATGAATACCGATATATATTAAATAAAACAAAACTAGTAAATCCACATATATGATCAAAAATTTCTGTGAATGCGATCATGAATTTTATTTACAGTTTTTAAACACTCAAGTTTTTAAATATATTTGTTGATAAAATAAGAATTTTTTCATCTAAATTCGGTATTGACTTTAAGGCATTTAAGGACAACTGTTAACATACAATCTTTCATTAATTTTAATACCTTTTCAAATGCTCCAATCCACTGTGGGTTTTTAAATTGATTATGATATAAAATAAATCAAGAGATGTAGTTTAATTGTAATTATTATGAAAATGAACGATAAATTAAAGTTAATGAAATAAAAAATGCTATGAAATTGTGCAGCTTATTTAGATAGACCGATTACCATACTTTGCAGAATATACGTACTAAGACCGAAGGAGGTACATCTGTTCTAAGGTAATGAAATGAAGATATACTATATACAATAAATAATATATTACTACCCATCAAATTTAAATATCAGAATTCAGTTCGTAATTGATTTAGTTTAAAATTTTCACAAATATCATTTGACATTTTACCCATTCACGAAATATTTGTGCTTGTTTAGCAATTTGATAATTTCTACCTTCTGATTTTAACATATTATATGAGTGTCGGTCGCCAAAAGAAAACCCGACAATTTAAATATAGACTATATTTAAATTGTCGGTTTTTCTTTTGGCGACACTCATATGTAAATGTTTTACCTAAATCTTGCACTGTAAATTGGCATAATGTTAAAAAGATAAAAAATCTTAATTATTAATATAACTATTAAATTTTTTTAGTATAAAAAACCACATCAAGATTTGTGGCACCAATGATTTAGGAATTTGGGCAAATAAGCTTTAAGATTTTGAAATAAACTTAATTTGTTACTGAACTCATATAATGAACATAATTAAAATGTTGTATTATAAATTTTAAAACAAATAATTACCTAGTTCTAGACAAATATTGATTAGTTTTTTAGATTTGGTGGCTCCTTGCTTCCTTATAGATACAAGCACTTCTGCTGTCTCGAAATCTTTTATTCACATTGTTGCTTTGTTTAATTTTAATGAGTGTAATATATATATAAGTATTATGATTATCTGTCAGCTATTACGTATATACAATACTCCCAAAAATAGTACACTGTTGTTAAGTTCTGAGCATTATTCACCACCTAATTAGCTTAATTTTTGAATAATATTTCTCACACAGTACCATCAGATACATTCAATTTAAATTGAAGCTCTCGAATAAGACTAGGTATTATACGCAGCGGCCAACAGTATTACGATAATATTATGTAAGCAAACATATCTAAATTTGATGAAATTAAATCTTTATCTAGCAAAAAATTTTTGTCCGAAGGACATTACGGGAGAGTCATAGTGACCTGGTTGTGTGTGTGTCCGCAAATTAAGGGGTTTGATTGGTTGATTGATAAAAACAAACATTTGCTCCGAAAATACCCATTGTCGGACTGATCCGTGATAAGTCCTTCGGACCTTAAATGGTTTCCATTTACCTAGTGATAGGTAACTTTTTGATTTTTTAAAATTCATCAAAGGAATTATAATAGATTTGCGTAAGAAATACTCATGAGGAAAGTCCAGAGTAATTAATAATTGATTAATTTAATAATCAAATCACAAAATATAAATTTTCAGAAAAAATTTTTTCAGTTACAATACTTGTAGACCCTGTATTCCTTCATATAATGCTCTGTTCAAATTTCATAGATAAAAAATATCGCCTACGGTAATAGATGATAAATAAATTGATGATATTAATTCAGATAACAAGGCCGATTGGAATCTTATGACATTCCACTGAGCAACTTTATCACTATATAATTCTGTAATTTAAAAATTATTAAAATGTTTTAATTAAATTTTCAATAAGTACTAAATTATTATACCCTACAAGACATTGATAAAGTTGGTTCAGAATCAACTGTTCCTAAATATAAAAGTCAATTCATAAAGATAAATATAACATAATGAAATAAAAAGATTCTCCAAATGATCCATAATCAATTCTGCCTCACCTGAATCCGTCATTCATTTTAGAAACTTATTACAATCAGAGGTCTGGTTTTCTTTAATTATATTATAATTCTGAGAACTGATGTTGTTGTTATATGTGTTAATGTATAGTTCAACATTTTATGGCGACTGATTTAAAGCTGTACTTGTCATTGAAGCATCTATGTATACCCTATTAAATAATTCTGAATATTTTAAATTACTTTTTTTGTTTCTAAATAAAAATGCTACAAATACTGAAACACACAGGACCTAGCTTATGTACATATGAAAAGAAATATAACTTCTTAGTCTAAATGTTGGATAATTCATATCATTCAAGCAAAGATGTATTGATTCGGAGTTTAATGATAATTTCATTTCATTTATGATAAACCTAAAAATAAAAGTAATTAATATGAAAAACATCTATATCATAAATTGATCTATAATGACGAATACAAGCTTGAAACCCTCTTCACGCCAACATTTCAGCATGAATATCATGAATTAAATCATCTGTCTTTGAAAGTTTACTTTATGGAAGACATTTTAACCCACACTATTCAATACCCACGATAAATAAATCACGAATAAAAGTAAAATTCTATGTAGTTAATATAGATAATTTCAAAAAATACAATAAAGAAATTTCAAACACAAGAGAAGCACAATCAAGGTAATGTCTTCTATACTCTATTAAGTATTTACATAAAATCAATTTTTTTTCACCATAAAAAAAAAAGATGCATTAAATAATTACCCGTCATATGACACGTAACTACGCTTGCAAGCAGAGCCCACTCTAAATTATTTTGAAAAGCCAATAGTTTTAAACTTTTGATAGCATATTTCCGTTATATGGGAAGAAAATGTGATTCCTTTTTATAGGATTTACATAAGCCAATCAAATTAAATTTGACATTTAATATGTGTAACTTGAAATTTTTATTTAAGGATTAAGCAGGTGATTGGCATGCATTTTTCCTTCGCACCTCGACTTTGATCCCTTATTTATGACAGCATAAACTTAATGATACCACAACATATTCTAACCAGTTATTAACACAACAAAACAAACGAAAACATTCTTACGACGTGGGCTCCTTCACACTTGAAGAACAAGTACCCCAGTGATCATCACATCACATGAAATTATGCAATTACGCCATTTGTTTACCAGCACCAAACAAATTAGCCTAAACTAACCTATCACCTAACCCTAACGTGATTGTCGTGAAGATATCACTGGGTACTTGATCTTCAATCTTCCCTATTTTACAAACTATATTGAGCGAAAAAACGGCCAAAAGTGAATATATAGAATGTTTCACGAATTTGAAATCATTATATATATATATTGTATAGTCTTCACGAATTTAAAATCATTATATATATAAATATATTTGTATAGTCTTAACATTATGCAATTGTTCTTCTTCTTACACTTACAAGAACAATTACTTCGCAGTAGTTAAAAAGAAAAAACGAAGTTTTATGAAAAAACAGTTATTGGATAGGCAAATATTAAGAAAAATTATTAGTTTAGATGGTTGATTTTCATTTTTTAAAAATTTTCGATGGAGTATTTACATTTTCTTATAGCTCGAAGTTTATGCCGATCTACTAATAAATAAAATCAATAACTTTCACGCCTTTAATTGATTATTCTGTATCCGAAAACGTGATCAAAATATACTAAACTAATATAACAATATAATCAAATTATGAATGTCATGATCATAAATCACAATTCGATTTATTATGCAATTGTTTAGTGTTATTTATTTTAAAATTCCTACTGAATAGTAACAAATTTTCAGCTAACCAAGTTGACTTGTTTATTTCAACTTTTATCTCATGATTTTACTTCTTGACAGAAATGGAATGACTTTTCTCTAGTATTTGTTATAACCTGGTTTTTTCATATCTCAATACCATTTATGTTCTTTTCACCTCAATGATTATTAATAATAACAAAGATATATAAAAGTGAAATAATGTCATAACTTATCATATTATGAAGATAAATTTAAAATTTTGAAATAATAACATCATTAAATATCATCAAATTGGATTTTATTATTTATAAAATATTAATATAAAATAACATATTGATGTGTAAGAAACTAAAAAAGAAATCTTACCCAAAGAGTATTAGTTCGTCTCTAATATTATTCTGAATAAATAACTAATTACAAAAATATATAAAAATATTATTTATAATGTATCAAATTACAAGCAACAATATTTGATACGTATTGGAATTCAACATATTTTAAAGGAATTATTGAGTTTTCCTTATAATCTTTTTCAGTAAATTTAAGTAACTAAGTTTCTTCAATATAATCAATATCTTCAAAATTAAGAATAGGTCTATTGATAAAAAGTTTAATTTCCTTGAGGGGCTTTATCTTATAAGAATTTAAATAAAATGGGTAAGATCATATTAAGCTTATCAAAGTAAAAGATTGTACAAGAAACTAACCGATTTCTTTATTTTCAATTTTATCTTCACTTCTTTCTTTACATTTGCAATTGTTATTATCTTTAGGAATAATTCTTATAGAATGAAGTTTCACGGGTTGTCTAAAAGGAATAGAAATCATAAGTTGGTCATCCACATCTGATTCCAAGTATGTATTATCATTCTTAAAATATTTTGAACACTATTATTTTCTTGTTGATTAAAACAATCAACTTGACTGAGCCTGATATATCTATTTATCTTTTTCTAATATATATATATTATAAACTATTTATTTATAGTGAATAGAACGGTTTATATACTGCAGTAATAATCAACTAAAATACATACATGCCCACATACATTTTCACCTTCTTCAGGTATTTCAATATGATGCTCAATGAGATTTTTGAGCTTATCGCCATTAGCACCGGCAAGTCTATCAATTTCTTGTCCTTTCTTGGAAAATGTGAAGTTGGACTAAAGCATAAAATACATAATAAATGAGCATGTCATAATACAGTAATATCAATTATTTCAAAGATAAAAATAAAAAGTTCGACATACAAAGCTGTTATTTGAGCATACTCTGCAATATCTTCCTTTTTAACGGTATCATAATCAGCAACATCATCTTCATTCTTAATAGTAACCTAGTGAAAACAATATACGTATAAGTTAGTGAAAATGCATAAATGATTTCTACAAGTTTATAAAACTTACCATTGCAAAATTTGCAAGTTCATCATACCTTAAACTCAGTTCTTGGAAAGTCGGTAAAATAACTTAGTTCCAAATACAGTCAGTAGAATGAAAATACACTAGTCTAAATTTGGTAATTATAAATTAACGTTAAGATTTTATGTATAAAACTGCAAAGTTGACTAGCATAATACCAGTTTTAATGAAGAAATAAGTTGTCTATATTTAGAAATCTCGGTAATAGTATTATACATTTTAAAATCAGATCCGTAGTAATTTAAGAAATGCAGATTTTAATATATCTGAGACCACAATGAATGATTTAATTATTTGCAAAAGTGCGAAAGATTCCAGACTTCCATTTTAAAAATATTTTTGAAATACCAAAAACGTATTTTCATTAGCGGATCGCACTCACTTTACAGAAACTTGAATTCTTAATACGTGGTAACTTCGTAGTAACGACGTAGTGTTACTATGCAGTTACTGCGCATTAAAAGATTTAAATTTCTGCATAGCAATGTGCTGTACCGAAATTTAGAATTCTAATTAACGTAGAATGATTTTCATTATATTGGTCGCAGATGCTGATTAAAAAATAAGGTTGCACAAAACATTATCATTATGTAATGATGCATATGTACGTTCGTACTAGAATTTGCTTCATAACAAAAAAGAACAAAGCATTTTCTTCTAGAATGCTTCATTTCAAGTGTCGTTGGGGTTCGATGTACGTACTATGTAAATCAAATCCATATGTAGTCCTATTGATTTTCATACAGGACCGATTTACATAGTACCCCAACGTGTCGTAAGTATACATACATATACCTATATCGATATGCGCATTTTCATTAGTGTGATATTTTTTGAATTGCAAAACTGGTCGCAATCTGATCTAAAAGGAAATAGCTATGAAGAAACAGGTTTTTAATATATGTGACTATTATTTTTTATAATGTACTTACGATGCAGGAAACCTAAAAACTTCAATCTCTTTATATAGAATAAAGGTTAGCTAATTCATTGAAGATAAACTAAATTTATCATCATAATAGCATTCTATTGCGTACATATTGTTCTTTGCTTATTGAGATCGATAATTTAGGATATTTATTTTCGGTGTACCGCTAGTTTATGCATCATCTCTGAATAGAAAACTGAGATTTTTAAATTATTATTGCTCGATCAGTTGACTTTATTTACATGAAGTAACATGTGGAGATTCCGTTTGCTATCATTTTCAGGCTTCACAAACTCTATATTAATTACGCTAAGATGTCTGTCTCCAAAGGGATATTTCATCCCAAACAATCAACACACACATCTCATAGCCCATTACATCTTTCTGACCACTAAAACATACCGTAGCCAGATTGTAGCCAAAAGGAATCCATAGCTATAAAGAGAATCGGTTATATAATATTATTTGGTGACGTAAGGGCTCTGACATTTATTACGTAATATCCATTTACTATAAGGGCTACCCCCTCCCCCACATAAGATCTATATAATTGGCCAATTTAGAAATCATATAATTTCCTTGTGTAACTAAGTTATTGATATAATACATGCTCAACCCCCACCCCCTAAAATATTACATAATAAATTTCACAGCCCTAAGTGAAACCGACATAGGTCCTTACACTGCCTACAACAGCCGCGGAGCCAACATGAGGCCTATGCATTGCCTATGGGATCCTTGCGCTACCAACAGAGCCTAACAGCACCCACTAATAACTTCCTACACAAAGTGTCGAGGGTTGTGAATAGACATAGTCTAATCAAAAATGTTATTGTCCAATTGACTAATGGTCTAATTGACTAATGGTCTAATTGTCTAATTGTCTAATGTCTATTCAATTTGGTTGAGAATAGACAAATAAAATTTTAATTAGACAATATGTCGTAATTTGTATATTGATTTAATCGATTTATAATTCCAAATTATAATAACACCCGAAAAAGTCAGATGTATAAATATCAGGACCTCAAATGACCTCAAATGACCCCAATTTTATTATGAATTTTAGTCCGAAATGACCTAGGTCATTTGAAAAAAAGGCAAATGACCTCCAATTTTACCATCCCTGATAAATATAGCGTGATTAGCAATTTATTAAAATAAAAGTATAATGTAGTTTAAAGAAGTATAAAAACGTTTAAGAGAAATAGCTTAAATAGCATAATTGAATATAATATAAAGGCAGAGAAAATAAAGAAGACTAATTTTTAATTTCGATTATGTAATAATTTGCATAACTTGCCAATGACAAAGATAATGTATGTTGATATTACTATTTTAATTTGCATTTCAGACAAGCTAGGTTTTTTAAGATGTTTGCTATAGACGAAAAAATCTAAAGTTTCTTAGTTATTAGATTTTTTATATTTTAAAATTTAGAGTTAATATAGTTATACATGTAGGGTATATTAAATTTTTTTGTACCCATTATTTTTATCATATGATAAACCAGTAATACTGATATTGTTTAGGTTAGGGTTAAGGTAATAACAATGTTAGGGTTAGGGTAATAACTATGTTAAGGTTAGGGTTTAGATTATTATATAGTAAAATCACCCAAGAAAAACTTTTATTAATACACAGAAGGTGGTTTAGTATGCAATTTTTTGCAAAATGGGCGATTTTTGTCAAAACAAACATTTGTTTTGAATTTTTCTGATTGTATAATGTTACACCTGATCTTGAATTTTAGTGGCAATCTATAGATCACATAATATGGATATATGTACCTTTGGATATATATATATAATCCCTAAAATTTATATTACATAAATTAATAAATAATTTTATAGATTTTATTATGATTTTTGATTATAATTTTCAATACAGTGTCATGTAGTTTAGCAACACTATGTGTACTAGTTTATTTTACTAGTACACGTAGTGTTACTAAACTACATAACACAAAGGACCTAGGTAAGTAAAGGTTCTCTCATTGGGAGTTTAAAGAGAAGACTATAAAGGCCATTGACCTTCAAGTACCATATTATTATAGTTATTGTGAAGAAAGTATAGATGATTTTTTGTTCGACTTTGAAGCCTATTCGCATTCAAGGGATGGAACGATTCTTGCATGAAGTTGATTGTGAGCCAGCATTTCTTGAACAACTAATTCTGTGGGTTAGAGATGTAATAAGGACAACCAAAAGTTTGAATGAATTAAAGTTCAACATGAAAAGGGAAGTGAAAATGTCATATGATGATGACATAAAGTTAATCAAGCTAATGGACATTGAACAAACCAAAGATAAATTGATTGTATGCTATACTAATCGATTTGAAGCTCAAGCATTAGTGGCGAAAGAATATGCTTGTCAGAAGGCTAAAATTAAATGAATATATATTAAAGACTTGAATGAAAAATATTGAGAGAAGGTAAATCATAATAGTCCTATAACATATGAGGATACAAAGAAGTGTGCACTAAAAGTCAAAGAATATACAAAAGAGAACGAATATAATAAGGAAAAAGCTATCAGAACATTAAATAATTGTACAGGCAAACCTGTTGAGGAAAGAAGTGAAGAACCTTTAGATGGTGAGTCGTGTGAAACCAAGTATGGTGTAAATAAATGGTGGCAGAAATAATGAACCCTGTAAAGGAGGTAATTGAGAACATTAGTTCTTTAGCAAGTAAGGCTGTGAAAAGCCAATGTGAAGATCAGAAGTATAATACTTACTGATACAAATATCGACATCTTAGATTATGCTACGAATGTCATCATTCAGAGCATAAGGCACGTGATTGTCCAAATCAAAAGGAAAAGGACCCTAAGACCCAAATTGTTCCTGTATAATTAGTTATATTGGAAAAGGAATATAAAGAATTCAAGAAATATTGGCGAACTGCGGAAATGAGAGATGCTGATAGAAAGGATGAACCAGGATATTGTCAACAAAAAGAAAATATTATTGAAAAGGATGAACATAAGACATTAGTTTATTATTAAAAATCAGCAAAGATGAATCATGCTGGTAGAATATACAAAAGTGAATTTTGCTACGAAAATGGAATTGAAAAGAATGAACATAAGACATTCACTTATTGTCAAAAATCCATAGATATAGATAATATTAATAGAATCTATAATGTTGGCTACTGCAATGCTAATGAAATTGGAGTTGATAAGAAAAACAAACCTGAATATTCCAGGGATCAAGCTTAGATAGTAAAGCAATGAAGATTGATTAAAAAGAATTCATGATGAAGAGGATAAATATAAGGCATTCGTGAATTATCAAAGATTAGCCAATATGGATAATGATATTGATGAAGCAATTAAAGTTGGTTAACAATAGCAGAATGAAGCAGGTGTTTTGCTGAAAGCACCATTGGATTTTGTTATAGAGATGGACTCGATGATGATGGGTTTGGTGAAGATAATACAGAAATGGAGTAGTACTGGTAGAACATTATAATGATGAGGTTGTGTTGTGCAAGTAAATTGAACTTCAAAGACAAAGTACTTGGGGGTCAAGCTTATATGTTGCAGTGTTTCTTAATATCCCATATACTTGTAGTGGACCCATGTGATTAGTAATCGAGTACATGATTGAATATTGTGATCGGGGATATGTATAATCTCAATCTAATTAAAAGTCTAAGAATAGTCTTTATTGCATGAACAATGTAATAATTAGTGATTAGAATAGTTTTTATTGCATGAACAATGTAGTAATTAGAAGTGATTAGTATCACATAAACAATATAGCAATCAATAGCAATTAGTAATTAATATGTGATTGTATGAATAATGTAGTAATAAAATATGTATTAGTAATAATATATAAAGCATAGATCCAAATAGGGGAGATGCCAAGCTTTCACTTTGTAAATAAGCTTCATTCTTAGTGTATAAACTGTATCTGTGTAAATACATTAAAGGTGGTAGTATCTGGTATAATACTCCAGTTATCGCATAATAAGGCCAAGAGAGTCAAGATCAATAGTAAAGTTATAGTAGTACACATAGTGTTAGTAAACTACGTGACAACAGTTTCAACAAATATTAATAAAACTTTGTTGTTTAGAATTATAACTTGAGTTGAATTTTCTTTAATCTAATTAATAAATCTTTTGTCCATTTAATTTTTTTATTAGCACTTCCTCATATAATATATTTATTATAAAAGCTTATATTTAGATCTCTTTTATGTTTGTTGAGGTCTGTTGGTTGGCAAGAACAACCTACATTATAAAGTTTTGCATAGACTAAACATACTGTAATGTATTCAAGTGAATCTTAATTTTGAATATATTAACATTGTTGTATTATTTAGGATAAAATCATAAAAAATAGAATCATTATTACTATAGTATTTGGGCGCTGTTCAATAAAAAAGGGGAAATCTCTATTAAGATTTAATTAAAAATTTTGAGAAAACCACGTTTTTGTAAACCACAACAATTTCTAGTAACAAATAATGTAGATCAATTTTTAAAATATTATTATAAGCCATGTGATGTAAACAATTGTGTAATGCACGTTATTATTAATTTTTTGCTATGTAAAAATTGTATTACACCAGGTACTATATACAATACTAGATAGTAAAGATTATATGTAAAACTCAAAAAATTATTAAACCAATATGAATTAACTTTTAATTAGAATTATAAATCTGGTTATGTTTTATTTAATAAGCCAATAAAAATTTTTTAGTCAAAAAGTAGATCTCTTCCCTTTCTATTGAACAGTGCCAATTTGTCTATTGTCTAATGACTCAATTTGATACCATTAGACTATCTATTGTGTCTATTAATTTGTCTATTGTCTATTTATAACCATGCAAGTTGTCATAGTGGTTCTCAACACTACCGTGTACTTCTTTGCTTTTACTAATAGTCTTTACTCACTTGGCTAATCTATTTGAGACTATGTATCATGCAGGTCCTTCCACTCTCGATGTTCACAATATTCACTAAGCTAAAAACTCAAACTCTTTTATTATTATTTATTGTTCACTTTAAATATTACAAGATTTAACTCAGATATTAATATATCCGGTTACATGCATTATACTATTCACAATTAAACTTTTAATTAAATTCTGTATTATGCAAATTCCAATCACGCACGCCATCAACATACCTGAACCTGGTTGGATATCAGCACCACAAAATTACAGGGTATCAAATTAAACTATGACATGAGCTAGAACTCCAAGAACTTTGTCCCCAAAGTTTCCACCAATGTAATTATATAAACATTCCTATTTACTAATACAAACTATACTAATACAAATTATTTTAACACTAAAAATCGTTTTTTTTTCATAATTCGAATTACTTCAGTATTTAAGTCCACACTACCGACTGTTTATAATTTCATCTTATTTCAGTACTCTTATTACTGACTATTGCTTAATTAAACTTTACTTCGGTACCTATTACCAATTGTCATATAACTTTGGTCAATTCTATCGACCAGCATATATCACGTGCATCATATAAACCAAATATTTCAAAACTTTCATATTCAAGACAAGTATTAATTTTTTTTTTTCAAACATTTTATATTGCTTCATCATCATCTTCTATACATCACAGTAACCTCAGATCCATTCTCTCTAGCTTTTACACTTCAAATTGGCTTCTAAACATTACATGTTTCAATTTTTTATAGCCGATTATGTGGTCCAAATACAGATGCTTCATGAAATTAATGTTCTTCAAGCTATTCGATGTAGCATAATCCCAATTTACATTAATTTTCGGCACCATAGGTCTCATATTTCGACATTGCTACTGATTATTGAAAACGTTTCATTTCTCATCTTCAGCCTTCATTTACCAATCAGCTCTATAATTTCACTACAATTTTTATCCTCATTGCTTGTACCAACTTCATCACCACATTCAATCTTTCAGGCTGATTCCTCAGCATGCTTGATCTTTTGAATCATCTCTTCATTCAATGCTGGTAAGTTTTCAATCTTTTCCTTATTCATCTCAATTAATTTGTCATTCAATTCAACCACCATCTCTTCTTTCTTTGTTTCTTTGTCATGATCTGATTCGAGATTATTTCCTTTATTCGAATCTCCATTCTCAGCAGAGTTTTGATGATAAACTAATGCCTTATGTTCATCCTTTTCAATGTCTATCTTTATTGACTTTTGATGATCGGCAAAGTCATCATTTTTATCAAGCTTGACTTTCATCGTCATCATTCCGGATCCAAGTACTGCAACTTCACAAGACTTTACAGGCATGTTATTTATTTTCGTTTTCCCCTTCTAATCTAACTCATTCACTTTCATACTACTAATAATATTCTTTTTTATCCCTTCCAATCCTCTTTTATCTAAATCAATCACTATCGCTCTACCATCTGAGCTATTTCCCCTTATGTTATTCATATCTGCATCTTTTTGATGATACATGAACATCTTATATATGTTTATTTTGGCTCCAATTCCATAATAATAACAATGATCTTCATCATTAGTTCTGCCAACTTCACCCATATCTTCAGATTTTTGATCATGTATGATCGCTTTATGTTTATTCTTTTCAATACCAATTCCACGATAGTAATAATGTCCAACAAAAGGTCTATTAACATTACCTATATCAGCAGGATTTTAATAGCAATCAACTGCCTTATACTGATTCTTATCGTCACCAATTCCATGAACGAAAGCCTTTCATTCATCCATTTTATCTCCAATTATATGATGATGACAATAGTCATCATTATATGTTCCATCAAAACTACCTATATTTTCGCCCTTTCAACATCAGTTTCATGGGCCTTCATCACACTGGATTCATTGCTCCTAACATCATTCTTATTCTGGCAACAACATCCAACAAAACCTCTACCCTTAACATCCACACACCTAAAGATCCTCACATCTTGGATTTCATCATTCGGCATTGTATCCTTTTTCCTTTTTGTATTCGATTCATCTTTGAATGTCTCATTAATCCTTTTACCCTTTTCAATTTGACTTTAATTCTCATTGTCACCAACTTTGGGACTACTAATTTTCATAAACTGTATATCCATAACTTTCTCTTGACATTCATATCTCACTTGGTCTGGGAAAGAATGGGCCAAATGTCCTTGACGTCGACAAACATAACACAACCGAGGTCTGTAGCATTTTCGGTTAACTTGTCGTTTTTTCAAATGCTTCACCACGTCAAATACTAACCCAGTCAAACTTTCAACTAATGATAACAAATGGTTTTCACCTTCTATACTCTTCGATTTCACTACTCCAGTAATGCTCAATTTTTTTATTTTTTTTTATTTTTTTTTTTGTATTGCCCTAATCACACACAAATGCCGTCAGAGACAAATCTCAACAAACACGGCCTTTTGTCCTTTCACGTATCACCAATTAAATGTATTTTGCAAGTAGAACTTTTGTCTACCCAGGTCCTTACGTCATGGCGGTTCTCAACACTACCATGTACTTCTTTGCTTTTACTAATGGTCTTTACTCACTTGGCTAATCTATTTGAGACCGTGTATCGTACAGGTCCTTCCACCCTTGATGTTCACACAGGTATCGGTATATTCACTAAGCTAAAAACTCAAACTCTTTTATTATTATTTATTGTTCGCTTTAAATATTACAAGATTTAACCCGGATATTAATATATTCGGTTACACGCATTAGACTATCCACAATTAAACTTTTAATTAAATCCTGCATTATGCAAATTCCGATCACGCACGCCATCAACATACCCGATCCTGATCGGATATCAGCACCACAAAATCACGGGGTATCAAATTAAACCGTGACACAAGTGTCCTTAGTTTACGAGCTACTTAGAGGCGGGTGGGAGTGGTGGGACGATAGAGTCAGCCTTCACTACAAGGCGAGCGTTAGCAAAAGGAAAGATAACCTAAAGCCCTTAAATATATTACCGATTATATACCATACTTAGAACCATATGATTACCCCTTGTATCCATTACTCGTTCTCTAATAGATATAGTAATCCATTCCAATAATCATATGCAATCATCATATTAACCGGAATCTAACAAGATACTATAAGACTACACACAAATTCCATAATTGCCAACTAGAACATGTGATCCCATAAAGATCGCTCTAACACTTCGTTGACAGGCTTTTCATTTCTGCACCGTACGTACGTACATTATTTGTCATTTCATACAGTACATCTAAAAACCGATCTAATTTGAGGATTTTTGATAGGTTTATCGTAAATAAGTTGTACACATGATAAATTTTGTTAATAAATTTCGGTAATTATCATAATATTATTCAAAAAACTATATCACCGATGAATAAAAAATTTCACAGCCATATTACTTCACTATAACGAATATGACGTAATTTTCAAGACTGTTATGATATAAATATAAAATATCACTAAATGCCGTCTAGGTATATTGCATATTTACGTATATATTCGAAAAATTAAATTCGCTTTCAAAAGCAATTTACATAATGGCTAACACCGAAATACGTGAGTATTCTTATATCTACTTTTGTAATTTTACTAAAAAAACTAATCAATCAAAGTTTTATCAATTTAGGATTGTTAAAAAATATTGAATTTCAATTTTGTTTAGCTGAGAATGAAGTCTTATTTGAAAAAAGTTAAAACACAATTATTGATATGGCGTTCATGTTTAATTAATAAATTATTTTTTAATAAAAATAAATCAGGCCATAGAAATATTTAATCACATTAATAAAAGAATGACAAAAACTGATAAACTTCCATGGAATTCGCTTACTGAGATTGTTTATTCGGAAAGCTTTATGAACTCTACTTTAGTTAAGAATTTTACTAATATGTATCTTAAGAAGACTTGTGATCGTCTTACTGAAATGGTATGCCATAATCTTAATCTATTTCAAGCCTCAAGATCCAAATAATTTAATACTGTATTATGAAATTCTTTAAAAATCAGATCAACTTATTAAAACCAACGTTTGGATATAGTATCGAATTATTAGGTTTCGAGTGATTCATTATTATTCGTTTATTATAAAATTACCTTTAAAATTCTCCCTCAAACCTTTAGGATAAAATTATGCATCTGCTACCATTAATTAAAAATCTTGAATTAAAGCCTCGTGATCAGAAATTTTTTTTTTTGAAACAATTCTCGAGGTAAGTTTTATATAATTATTCTTACTACAATATGATTTTATATTTTAATTAATAATATGCATTGTATTCATTTTTTTTCGGCTCTTACAAAAATTAAGTCCCAAAGAGGTTTATTGTATATTTAAATTATTTTTTTTTATTTATTTACTGTTTGCAAAAGTGAGAATACTAATAAAAAAAAACTTTCATAGGCGGTAGCAGGTAGATAGTGTAAAAATAATAAACTTAGTCGAATCGGCAAAAAAAAATCATTCGGCTAATTTTTACAATATAAGGTCTCAGAAATAATAATAATAGCTGTAAAGCTAACTTTGTGTTCAGATACAGTTCCCATCCGGATTTAATAGAATCCGGATAGCCTGTCAAAGATAGGATCAGAACATCAATAAATCTGAGCTACGAACTCAAATTACCACGGAAAAAAAATCGGTACAGCGTATTAAATGTTAATCTATACAGTATGATGTGAAACGAATCATCTTCGTCATTTATTATGACACAAATTCCATAAATATGACAGAGCAAGAGTTGTAAATGAAACTAATTTTAAGTTTTACATTGGACATTAGATTTAGTTTCAACAGTTTCAGCAGCATTCACAAGTTTTACCTGCAACTCCAAGCCATTGTAAATACGAGAGATTCTGTGTGGTACTACTAATTTCTGATATTGTTGAAATATTAGTACAGATATGGAATTCTACCACGTACGCACTCTGAATTCTAAAACTTGAAAGATCCCATGCATAAACCTTAAAATTCTAAAACTTGAAAGAATCCTTGCATAAACTTTATGCTAATTCCAAACTTGAAAGATCCCTTGCATATTTAATATATTTTTCACATGTTTTCAGGAACTCTTAGTGCCGATAACCAAGAAGGCAGTAATCTAATAACTTCAAGGAGCTGATGTGTTTCTCAGATTTACATTTGCTATGTCGAAATTGAATATGATTGCCACGTAATATCGAACGTCCTTATACGTAGCACAAGGCGATCATGCGATATCGAACACCTTATACGTAGCACAAGGCGATCATGCGATATCGAACACCTTTGTAACACAAGTTTATAGATTCGAATATCTGGGTTATACCTCTAGCTAACCCAGAGATGAACTATTAACTTGTGTGGTACTGTATATTAATTTTATTATTCTATAGTACTATGCGCACCTGTATTTCATCTGACATATAAATAATAAATTAGTTAAAATATTAATAACTACGAGGTACGCATAAGGTCTATCATTAAACCATGTGCTATATCAATATAGTACTGTAGTAGCAGGGACCCCGGACGTTGATAGCAAAAATAGCTAGCAAAAATAGCTAGTGAAATTAGCAAATTTAGTAAATTTAGCAATAACGATAA